CGGGGGATGCTGCCGGAGCCTGCCCCGCCGCTGCGTGAGTAGCCCCGCCGCTGATCCGAGACGCCAACACGTGTTTGCAGCGCCTTTTCTTTTTTGTCTTTTTGGGGTTTTTTTCTTTTTTTTCTTTTTTTTTTTTTTTTTTTTTTAATTTCCTCTCCCTCCTAACCTGTTTGGTAACGCTCCAGCGCGGTGCCGGGGAACGGGGCCGCGGGGCTGCGGGACCGCCGCCGGCTGCGCCTCGGGCCTCCTCCCAACCACGGCAGCCGAGGGTGAGGGCTCCCCGGCCGCGCTCCCCGGCGGGCCGGAGCCCGGCCCTGCCCCGCCGCCCGGCCCGTACTCACCCGCCGCGCCGTGCGCTGCCGGCGGCACCGCTCGCCCACCGGGGCCGCCATCACGGTCACTGGCAAGCGGGACGCCCCGGCTGCGGGGGACCCGCGGGGGCGCTTCGGGGCGGCCGCAAGAAGCGGCTGCCTGGTTGGTGCGGGCCCGCGCGACCGCCCGCACGCCGCGCGCTGATTGGCTCGGGGCGGGTGGCGCGCGAAGCCGAGCGCCCGCCCTGGCGGCGGGTCGGGGCGAGCAGTGAGGGGAGCGCGGGCGGGACGGGCGGCAGCGCTGAGGGGGCGGCGGGCGGGGCGGTGACCCCGGGCAAGGGGCACCCTGAGGCGGCCCGGGGGAGGTCAGGGGACGGTGCTCAGGGGCAACGAAGTGACTCTGGGATGGGGACGCGGGAGGGCATGGGGAGAGAGCCCCAGAGCGGGTCGTGGCCCGAGGCTCTGTCCCCTTGGCGAGGGCGGGCCGCGGTGGGTGCCCCACGGAAGGGGGTGAGGGAGAAGGGGCATCCCTTCGGCGGGGCTGTGCCGCCGCAGGAGGAGGTGACACCCGCAAGAGGAGGGTGACACCTGCAGATCTCCCTCTGAAAAGCCACTTTTGCCGTCGAGAAGCAGCAGACTGGCGGTCTGGGGAGCCGTGAGGTGCAAGGACCGCGCCGGGTGCCAGGGGCACAGTAAACCTTGGCATGAGCGAGCACGCAAACCTACCGAGCCGATAATCTGTCATGAAATCTAAGCCTCTGCAGGACCTGGAAAGGAAGCCAGAGGCGTGAGGCAGAGATGTCCCAGTGCTGTGCCTCTGCATGCAGAGAGTTGGGGTTCTCTTCTTTGACTGGGTAAACTTAAACAGATGAGTTCCCCTCAGCTTTAACTCCTTCCCTGTTCCTGTACTTCATCGTGGAGCTTCTATTTATTATCCCAGGTTGTGATGTGACAGTTCCATGTGAGATATCTTGTTAAAAAAACTCATTAGCAGGCTAAACTACAGATGCTAAAGCCTGGTGCAATTGTCTGCAGTTTTATGGCAATCAGTTGTACAAAGAGCTTACGCTCTGTGCTGCTTTCCCTGCAGATGCAATTTAGAAGAAGAATGTAGCATTTTGGGAGTGAACTCTGCACTCCTTTAGGACAGTTTGCTTTAACAGTGTCTGGATACAGTGTAGGATTCTACAGGTGTGATTTCAGCTCTTTTAAGGGCAGTCTAAATTTTGGTGAGAATGAAGGCCATGGAATTCCTGTTTTTCCCGAGCTTGTTACCCAGAACAATTCCCTAGAATCAGTTAAAAAAAAAAACTACAACACTTGAGTGACACTGAAAGGGTTTTTGGTGTCTTAGAAGGAAATAAAATTACAGGTCTGGGAAATTTATGGTGTAGTTTAGAGACAGTGCAGGGAAAGGGAAGGAGATAAATGTGCAACTGGAATTGTAATAACATAAAATCATGAGTTTTGCTTAGTTTGCACAAGCATCTCCATAGTTCCTCTTTAGATTGTTCCACCCCACTAAAATCTACTGAGTTACTAGAAGGTTTTAAATAAAAGCTCAGAGTAAAGATACATTTGGAACAGAGCTCTGGAGTCTGGATTTTCTTGCCTCTGCCACTGACTCCCTGCGGGTCTTAAACAAGCCCCTAATAGACCCTGTTTTCACTCACAGGTGCACTGTGTATAGAATTTCTGTCAATGAAATGTGCAGTTACAGGGGCTGACGGGCTGGACCTTTAACCTGTTTGCTGGACCTTTAACAAACAGGTTAAATTTACAGATTTTAACCTGTAAATCTGACCTAACTGCTCACCTCAGTGCTTCAGGGACTTTGTGCTTGCAGGGCATTTTGGGATTAAGTGAAATGCACTATCACAGGGGTGGTTGGAGGGGCAGAAACACCCTTGGATTGGACAGTGTTGCTACAGATTCAGAAATAAGACAGGTACCCAGAGAGCATTTCCCCCGTGTATTCTAATACTGGATGGCAAAGGGCAAACTCAAAAAGGCAGATGAAGTACTCAAGAGGCACTAAACTTCTAGGATTTTTGGATCTGAGAGCTTTGCTGTAAAGACCTGTTCCATAAAACTCTGTCTTATGTTAAGTCATCATCCTCTCTATTTTTTAATATTACAGAACTGTGAATGAATGGTCTAAAGGTAAACGAGGCGATGTTAATTTGCAGCCGCTGCAGAGCTGAGCGGACGGTCTGACAGAGCTCCCTTTCCTGCTCCCCAGGACTCAGCGCAGGGACCCGCCGGCTCCTCCTGGGGCCACGACAGATGGGCAGGGACGGGCTGGCTTCGCCGTGAGCTTCCGCCTCGGAGCGCCCCGACGGATCCAGCGGAACTATTTGACCTCCCTGCATGTGCCTTTCAGTCAGCCCTTCGTCAGCGTGGCTGCTGCGGGTAGAGCAGACATGAACGTCTCAGTAGGACCGCTTTAAAGCAGGTATTGTACCCCAAAAAACCCCACCAAAATCTTTCTTTGCCTCTTTCTTTCTTTCTTTCTTTTTTTTCTTTTTTTTTTTTTTTTTTTTTTAATATTTGAGGAGTAGCATTTCTGAATAGTAGTGTAAATTAATACAATTAAATCAGTGAGAAAATCCTGTGTTGTTTAGAACAGGCAGGTGCTGTTTGTCTGATTCTCCCACCCCTTTGCACATTTTTGACAGATGCTAAGAAATTACCATATTTCTAATGTATGTAATGATAAGAGGAATTAAAAGGGGAAGACTGATATAAAAGCTGTCTGAGTCTTGAAAATTAAAAGCAGTAGCTGAGTTGACCAACACCGTTACCAAAGCTGAAGGGAAGGTAGCATTTCATTTTAGCTAAATTTTATTACTTCCCAGCTCCTGTGTATTGCTTTATAAATAATGGAGATGCATGTAATTCAAGGTCTAATTATAAGAAATGAGATATTCCTCAAAAGAGAAAGATTCTGCCTTTTAATAATAAACAGCATCTGCTTTGTTTTTCTCCAAACTGAAAGGTAATTGAACTGACAATTCCAAGCTGTCCTGAAAATGACAGAGCACTGAACTGGGAGTAGGAAGAAAGCAGAAGCCCTTTTGTACTAAAGAAAGGGCAGATGACACGCTACAGTTGGATCTGCTTCTCTTTTACAGATTTCTTTCAGAGCTTAAGCAGCTCTGGATGACTCCAGCCAACGGATTTTATTGTTTAATTTCTTAATGTCAGCAATGGCTGTTGCAGGTCCCAGGTAGAGCAGCTTCTCCTACATAGTCATTTTTTTACTAATTTTGTCTTTTCTTCTTTGTGTCCATAGAAACACATGTGGTATGGAAAGGAATCTGCTTTTATTACCGAGCTTTAGTGTAAGACTCATGGGTGGATTTGGTTTGGACCTTTGTTCTGCTGGTTTTCAGGCTAAGTTAAATTTTCTTGTCTCCTGGTCTACAAAAGCCAGAACAGCCCCTGTTTGTCACATGGTGATTAAGCTGCTTCACAAGTGCTCTTGAGATCTGCAAGGAGTAAAACTGTGAGGCTGTTTTGGCAGATCAGCTGCTCTGTCTGGGTCACAAGCACCAACACTTATTTACTGCGCTGGGGCAGATTCACAGAGACAGTTGTGATAACAGTTCAGTGTGTGTGACAAGTCAGGGCAGAGCACTGGAAGGGTTTCAGCTGCCTGATGGTTACAGCAAGGCTCAGAAGGCAAAAGCTGTTAATTCTCTTCCAGTGCTGTGTCACTAGTTATTGTATGGCTTTGGGCAAGCCCTCTGTGCCTCTGATTCCCTGTTTGCAGAACATGGATATTTGTATGTTTTATGTGTATAAATCTGTTCTCTGTTGTTACACATCTACCCCTTTGATATTGTTGCCTTTAGTGCCAACATAAAGTTGCAAATCAAAATGAAATTAAATAGCCAATATACAACAGTTACCCAATCCCTTCACAATCCTGCTCTCTGAAGAACAGACACAGAAAACACATTTGGACAGGTTTTTTTTTTCCTTAGCTTTGCTGTCTGATTCCCTAATTAGTCCTGTCACACAGCATTCCAAATACGGACATGTGGGGAAATCCTACAGATCAGAAACCTAGCTCTTGAATTAAGGTTTTAGAGGAACATCAGTAATACCAGTTAAGTCTTGTAGACTCCCTCAAAAGCCCTCTCGTGCCCATTTCAATACACAGTGACAAAGGAAGTGAATTTGTTGCCCATTCTGTAAGTGGCACGTGCAGCTCTGTTCCATGTGGTCTGACTTTAGAACACCACTGTTAGGTTTTTTTCAGGGTATTTAGCATCTTCCTAGAGCAGGTCATATTTGTTGCTCTTTGGTTGCATCAGGCATGTTTGGTGAAGCAACTTCCACTCCAAGACAGACCCAAATATCTAGTACGTGGCATACTTTGGGATTTTATGGATAATGTCCCTGCTTTGATTATTACACTGAGGCCAACATGGGTTGATCTGAGAGGAAAAAAGGCACAAAGGTAATTCTCATGCAACAAATATCAACAGCCCCATCCCCTCCTTGCTGTGCCTGCATTCCTGGCATTCCCCCCTTTGCCGAACCCACTGTATTCCCCAGCATCCCAGACAGAGGTGCAGAGCCAGGCAGTCCCCCCCACCAGCTGTCAGAACAGCCTGGTGGCTGTAAATTTTCAGCTTGGAGGAAAACTGATCAGGGCCTGTCTACACCTCTCCTACATTCCCCATGGCCGGTTGTCCGAATTGTTTTCCACGGGAGGAAGCTTTGTGTCCTGGTTCGTGTCCAGGCTGCTTAGAGACAACTTACACACAACACACACGGTGCTGTGGTATCTGAACTGGGGCAGGACGATGCACAACCACAACAGGAAAGTTTGAGCATCTTCAGAGAGGCTGAGCCAGGCAGGAGTTTGCTTTAAAAAAAAAAGGCACTGCAGTTCTTTGAGAGCAGGAAATGCGTCAGAGGAAGAAAGGTGCACATTAGCCATGGATTTTATTACAATTATTGTGCCAGATGCTGTTCAAAAAAAACCACTGCAACACAAAGTTCCTTAAATTGTCAGTAGTGTATTGTAGTTTATGATGATCACAGATCCTCATGTCTGAGGAAAAAAGGGCTTAGG